AAACCCTAAACACAGACACACACACACAAACACACAGAGAGCAGCGCGAGTGCCAGGCCGGCCGACAAGTTGCGGTTTCACGGCACCCGGGCCACTTGGCTTCCTACTGCAAGGCTTTTGGGGGGTCGTTGGCGGTGCTGGCAGGGGGCCTTTAACTTTAGGGCCTTTAGAGTTTGGTATTTCTGGCCTTTAACTTTAGGGCCTTTAGGGTTTGGTATTTCTGGCCTTTAACTTTGGGGCCTTTAGGGTTTGGTATTTCTTGAAAGGTTTGGGTTTAGGATGAGGGGTAGAGCGGTGTAGGTAGCAGGTCTTCGCCTCTGGAGGTACCGGGGAGAGCACGAGGGTAGATCAAGGCTCTAGCCCACACACCTTGCACAGCTACGCCATGTGTATGAAGCCTTTGGGCCGAATTGATTCCTTAAGTTTAGGTCCTAGTTTGAGCCTGAAGGCTGCGCCCTAGGCCCAGCCTTGAATCCGAATCTCCTATACGACTCTTATCGGAGGCTTTGGATGCGAGCCTTGGATACGACGCATCCGGAAGTTCAGGCCGCGCGATTTGGGCCAGTAGGCTTGTTTTCTGGGAGTCTCATGACCCCGACCTGTTAAAGGATAGGGGCACTTTTAGTTTCGGGGTTTTTGATTTGAGCATCTGTCCCATTTCCTTATGGTCCCAGGGTAGGTATGATTCGATAGTGTAACCTGGGGGGGCCCTTGCATGTTTACAACGGTCGGCAAGAAGGTTCCTGGTGAAAATAGGGCCTTGTCTTTGGTCCAGGTTCTATTCCTTTTCGGACCAATGATCTCGGTGAGTTGCCTTTGTGGAGCTACTAAGTGTGAAATTTTGGAGTTCGTCAGGTGTTCAAGGCACAAATCTGTTTATGTATCGGTTTCGTACCCGGGCTCTCGGTTGATCTATTCCGGATTCTAGAAGGGTGACACGGGTGGACAAAGACCGCTTGAAGCATCATTTTGCAAGTTTCAGGTGTCCAACCCTAAGGGTCCATGTACTCATATTATAGGATATACATTGGCCCCCAAAGTACCTATATAGGGACTACTTTAAGGCCAAAGTATCTCTATTTGGGTACGTGGACCCATAGGGCAAGCTGTACATGTGCTGAGCCAGGCCTTTTCATGAGCACCTTTTTTAGATAACTCCTATAGTCTCCATTGTATTTCTTTTTTTTGGTTTAACCAATTATATATTAAGGGTTTTTTATAAGGTATCCCCAAAAAGGAACTACAGTGGAGACTCTAGGCTGGGCTGATTCAGGGCACAAGCTGTTATGTGGAAATTGCGAACTTCTTGTAGAAGATGTTGGTTTAAGGTTCAGCTACCCAATTCAATCCTCCTAAACACTGAACCCTCAGGCCCGAAACCCCTAAACCCGAAACCCTAAACCCATGAACCCTAAATTCTAAACCCTAAACCCATGAACCCTAAAGCCTAAACCCGAAACCCTGGACCCCTAAACCCTAAATTCTAAACCCTAAACCCTAAACCCGAAACCCTAGACCCCTAAACCCTAAATTCTGAACCCTAAACCCGAAACCCTAGACCCTTAAACCCTAAACCCTAAACCCATGAACCCCTAAACCCTAAACCCGAAACCCCTAAACCCCTAAACCCTAAATTCTAAACCGTAAGCCCATGAACCCTAAACCCTAAGTCGCAAGCAGGCTCACATCCGGCAGATGATCCACACCATCGTGCATGATTGGGGCTTCAAGTATCTGAAGCTCTTCGTCTCGTTTGGGAGCGGTAGGGTTTATAGGGTTTAGGGTTCTAAGTTATAGGGTTCAGGCTATTGGAGTTTAGGGTATAGGGTTATCTGAAGCTCTGCGTTTTTGACAGATCTTAAGCTTTTTCTGCTTGAACGATTGTCAATAGGCCTTTCTTATGTTTCATTTTTTAGGGGCTTCGTTTTCCGTTGTCTCTATTCAAGTTTTTCCAAACTAGAGACCCCCCGCCAGAGCCCTGTTTTGTGGAGTTCGGGTCGAGTATTTTATTCCCTGCTTATTTTGGAGAATAGTGCTTAGAGATGCCGGCATAGAACGCCCAAGCTTGGAATAGTCTCGAGCCCGAAACCCAACAACGTCACGGTTCTAGCCCCTGCGGCAGCAGAGGTGCGACTTCCTCCACTGCGCAGCGCTGCCCGCAAAACGCTGGGACAGCAAGACCTCCCGCGCAGCAGCGCAGGCCGTGCATAGTTTGTGGTCCATGACATGGCCTGCGGGTTACCCATAGGCCCCATAGTAGTTCTTTTTTGTGGCTTATAGTTTTAGGATCCTATTAGGGAATCCCAAAAAGGAACCACTATGGGGCCTATGGGTAAACCCTAAACCCGTCAATTAGCCCTTGCAGTTTGCCAATGCTCTCAGGCTCAACCTTCTCAGACGACATTACAAAGATCTTTGGCTTAAGAAAACATTGCTTCATTGAGCAGTAAGCTTCAGAGCTTCTGAGCTTCCTCAGAAGAATGCAGTTCATGTCCTAGTTATGAGCTGCATAGGCAGACGTTATACTGAAAATAGTGCAGGGCTTCGAAATAACATGTAGAATCGGGGAAAGGACAGGCACCTTCCTGTGAAACATCTTATGCAGTGTTTACCACCTCCTTCGTTTGATCCCAAGGCACCCGGAAGCCCACAGCAACAACGACGCTAAACAATCATCATCTCGGAGCTTACACTCCAAACACGCATGCCCTGCAAGTTGATCCCCAAACCCCAAAGTCTTCTCCCGGCAGCATCGTAGGCCACGCTACTGCGCATTATTCGCGAAGCTGCGGGCAAAGACGTGTTCATCCTTGGTCTGGCTCCAAGAGAGTTTAGGTTGGTTAGGGCTTTACAAATAGAGGGCACAAGGTTTTGTTTACAGCGATTTGCCTACCCTTTTGTTGGCTTAGCTGAAACTGCAGGTTCTGCTCACATGCTTCTTGCGGGCCATGTCTAAAGGCAGGAACTTCATAAAGTTTATAGTCCCCAATTCTAACCCACCCTGCAAACTTACATTTTCCGTGCTTTGTTGTTTTCCAAGGGCTTGCTAGAGGATTCTAAAGCCTCAAACCCCAAGGGTTCGCGTAGCCGCATCGCAGTTTGGAACCCAGAGCTTTGCCTTCACACCTTAGGCCTTAAACGGCCTTAAACCCTCAACCCCGGTCCCGAATCCAGAAGGGTCTGTTGAGGACACACGGAATCGATGGCTGGAAGCTCTGAAGCCTCAATCAAGCTCAGCAAGAGAAAACCAACGCTCTGGAGCCTAATCTGAAGGTTCCAGAAGGGGTTCATTGGGGTTCTAAAGGGTTCAGAGCGTACCATAGTTGATGTTCCGTATATGAGAAGGATCCTTACATTCTTACATAGCTCTGCATGCTAAACCTGCTAAGATGCTACATGAGTCTTGCAAAATCCTTAGCCCTGCCCCTAAACCCTAAACCCTAAACCCTAAACCCTAAACCCTAAACCCTTAACCCGAACCGTTTTAACACCGCACAGTCTTAACTCTGACGTCCTAAACCTCCGCTGACTGCAGCTTGCAGGAACCCGAGCCTACACCTTCAACAAGCCGAGCCTCAAACTCCAACTCCTCAACCCGTTAAAGAGCCCTAACCCGAACCTTCCAGGTAGTTACTATATAGGGTACTAGAGCCCCTGAGGCCCTATATAGTAGGTACCTGGATGGGTTAGGGTAACCTAAGCCGAAGACTGAGAAAACAAGCCCTGCCCAGCTTGCGGGGCTCCGCTGGGACCCTGCCTGGGCTCTGTGGATGCTGTGCGCGTCTCGGCCGACACGGCGCCGCACTGGCTGCCTGTGGGGCCAGGGGGCCCGGCCTCTGCAGGGCTTATAATTTAGGGTCTAGGGTTTAGGGTTTAGGGTTTAGGGTTTAGGGTATAACAGTACTTTAAGGTTTCGATCGTGTTTGAGGATTCAAAAGAGTAGGGTTTAGGGGCTTTTTAAGGTACGAGGGTTTTGGGGTTTAGGGGCTTACAACAGTACTTTATAACCCTAACCCTCCAGGTACCTACTATATAGGGCCTTAGGGGCTCTAGTACCCTATATCGTAGGTACCTGGAAGGTTAGGGTAAGGTTTCGATCGTGTTTGAGGATTTAGGGTTTCAATGTCGGTTGCCGTATTGTCGTGACCTTGGTAGTTGGACTAGCTGTTTTGGGGTGCTTCATACTTCACTGCTAGTTTTATGATGGAACCCTCGGGAGGAGTGTTGTTTACTACGCAGATAAATTTGCTAGAGTTTAGGAGGGTTTTCTCTGGGGTTTGGCAAAATAGATAGATGCTGGATCCGAAACCCTAACTTCTATAAACCAGAGTTTGCTGCAGGGGTTGTATACGCTCGTCTATACTGCAAAACCCTAAAGTTTGCAGGGCATGAACCCATGATTGAAGAGCATTACCCTAAAGCAGCTACTGGATCCCTGACGCCCTAAAACCCTAAACCCCTGAACCCTAAACCCCTGAAGCCTACACCCCTAAACGCCCTAAACCCTAAACTCTTTACAGCTGCTGACAGCTCTTTACGTGTCGACGGATCTCTTCTAGGGAGCCCATGAGGGCCCAGGGTCTTTTCAAAACGAATCCCTATGCTCCAAGACCCCCCAATGTCCTTCTGTTCATATGGGGCTTTCCGAAAATAGGGGACCCAAATATAGTACCCTAAATAGTAGGATCCCTATTATAAGGACCCCAAAATAAGGTACCCCTAATTTTCTGAAACTCCCATATATCACTGTTCAGTGCCTTCTTTCATGCCTTTGAACCGTTTACTAGTGGGTTCATGTACCCAAAGCCCCACAAGAGGTCCAACGGGGGGTCCCAGTAGAGCCTTTTTCGAAATTTCACGTAGACTCCTGCAACAAGAATGGTAAGCTCTATACCCCGAGCCCTCACTAACCTCCCAGGTACCTACTGATATAGGGGACGAGAGCCCCCGGGGCCCTATGTAGTAGGTACCTGGCAGGGTTAGCGCCTAACAAACAAAAAACAACAGCCCCAAGGCCAGACGTGTTTGGCACACGATGGCTTTTTGCCAACGACCGGACCAACCTGCCTTCCGCGAGGCGCTGCCGGGTTAAGGGCTCCTTCTAGGGTTCCCTCAAGGGTTCCTGTATTCTTGCGTAATTCTCTAAATTAGGTTCCCTCTTCAGGTCCCCAATTATAGTACGGCACGCTTATAAAAAGGACCCTAAAAGGGACCCTAATTTACAGAATTACCCATTTAGAAGAATTTAAGGCTTCCTTCTGCTTTCGAAAGCTCCGCTAGGTGCAGACAAAAAGCCCACAGCGTAAAAGTAAGGCTGCTCAATCTAAGGTTAGAAGTATGGGCCCCTAATAGGCCTTTCCAGGGACCTTAAGGGTACATATAGGGTACATAGTAGGTATATAAGGATCCCAGGGTTAAGGGCCCATACCAACCTTAGGCTCAAGCCCATGCCTGGCCCAGCACATGTCCGCTACTGCACCTTTAGAACTTCCTATGGCTAAGGCAGCTTCTGATTCAGGCATTGATGGTGCGTTGTAGTTTGTCTGCTCTTGAAGCTAAACTACCTACGGACCTCCAAGTAGTGGGCCTTGAACATCCTATTGCCAAGGCCTATGAAGCTTCGGATTTGGCGCGCTGTAGTTCATCCCTAAACCCTAAACCCTAAAACCTAAACCCTAAACCCTAATACCTAAACCCTAATACCTAAACCCTACACCCTAATACCTAAACCCTAAACCCTAAACCGATCAATGATTGAAGCGAGGAACATGGTCTGCAGCACGATGGCTCGTCTTCATGCCGGAGGCCGCGAGGGTTTTTAGGGTCTTGGGTGCTTTTATTGAGGGTTTAGGGTTTAGGGTCTTTTCTTGAGGGTTTAGGGTTTAGGGTGCTTTTATTGGGGGTTTAGGGTTTAGGGTCTTTTCTTGGGGGTTTAGGGTTTAGGGGTTTTTTCTTGAGGGTTTTTCGGGTTTTGGGTGCTTTTATTGGGGGTTTAGGGTTTAGGGTCTTTTCTTGAGGGTTTAGGGTTTAGGGTCTTGTCTTGAGGGTTTAGGGTTTAGGGTCTTTTCTGGAGGGTTTTTTGAGTTTAGGGTGGTTTTATTGGGGGGGGAATTTGCCCAAAACACTGACTCGGGTATGGCCTTTGTGGTAGAAGTAGGGCCTCTTTTGTTGATTTAGGGATCAACTTCGGGCATCGCCAAGACTTTCTTGGAATAGGACGTTGGGGGTGCCGTCCGGGCGAGCCCTCGCAGTTTGGGCTTCTCCAAAGCTTCGGGGTCCGAGTTGAAGATGTTCCCCCCAGAAATTCTGGAACATCGTCGTGACAAAGAGCAACAGCACGAGCAAGAATGCCTTCAAGAAGGGCTTCTACAAGGACTTCTTCACCACCTTTGCCGGCGACATGTGCGGACCCATGAAGTCCGGGAGCACCGTCTTCAGGGAGTCGGAGTTGACGGGCTCTGGATTTTGCTGCATAAAACCCGACAGCTCGTGCATCCAAAGCTTGATGATGGCAGAGCAGTGTAGGAGATTATCTGTAAACTGTACACAAGAGTTTCCTGCCATGGGTCACAGAAGCCACCTTGTGCGAGACAGAACGCAAGAGCCGAACCCTTTGCCAAGACTATTTTTTTTTGGGGGGTCCTTATTATGATTATAGTGTAATGGCCCCCAAAAACTTATTTTAATTATTAGTGTCGCTACATTAAACTAGATCATGGGTGCATTGGGTCGAGGATGTTTATCTCCAAGATTTAATCCACGAGCCCGAAGCTCCAAGAAACCGTCCTGTCCGAGGGCCTATAGAGGTTAAACCCTAACCCTCCAGGTACCTACTATATAGGGCCTTAGGGGCTCTAGTACCCTATATAGTAGGCACCTGGAAGGTTAGGGTCTAACCTGGAAGGTTAGGGTAAAGCCTTCCAAGCCTTCATAGACCTGGACCTCTTCCAGCGACCGATACCCTCCGTGAACCTCGAATCTCAAGTCGTGAGACCTAAAGGGCTCTGAAATCTTTTTTGCTAAGCACCAAACTCCTAAAACTCCCAACTGGCAACAAGTAAGCCGCGAACGCAGCTAGCCACCTGTGGCAAAATCCTACATGGTTCCTATCCAGATAGTGTATACGCCTGAAGTTTGAAAGAGTCCACGAACCCAGTTAATCAGCACGGCTTAAGTTTCCGTGCACAAAACCCAAGTAGCCACGTCCCAGCAATCCCAAAGGCCCCGACCCTCAAGCAGCCGCTACGCTCTAAAAAGCCATGACAACACCGACAGAACTTCTAGAAGCCCTTTAAAGACGTAAGATCTCCTCTAAACTCTAAGCTGCCCCTAAAGCCCTTGACCTCAAAAGGCCTAAAATGGCTTAAACCTTGTCAAGGCCGGCTGTGGGTTAACGATCCGGACTGCCTCCTCCTTCGGACTGAGGCCAAAGCAGAGGGGTTTAGGGGCTAGGGTTTAGAATTGTGAGTTCGATTTCATCATCTGTTTAGGCTGCATGGTCCCTTTAGGGTTTTGAAAAGGAATGTAGGTTCGCAGATTTAGGGTCGGAGGGGAGGGTTCCCTCTTGGGGATGCCTTTTGCCTTTGAATTTGGTTTACGTCATGGGTTCCAATGGACCCAGAGACGTCCAAAGACTTGAATCGACTCATGGTCAAAAGAAGGGTATACCAGGACCCCCCAATGGCCCTTTAATAGAGCCCTTATGGTCCCTAATAGTGGGTATTTGGGGTATATTAGAGGGTAGTTGGGGGGTCTAGGTATAGTCGGTTTGGGTTTGGAGTTCTGGGTTCGGGGCGGGGTCCAGGCTTCGGGCTTGGGCACATGGTAAATTGCAAGACACGACGAAGAAGTTGGTATGGCTCCAGCGGTGGCTACGTCCTGCGCCCTGAGGAGGCTCTTGACAGGCGACAAATGCCTTGCCCTGATGATGATTTGATCGTGGCCAAGGAGATCTGTTACCATCAACCATCATCATCATCAGCAGCAGACACAGCATCAGCATGATAATTATCACCGTCAATCTTCATCCTCATCATCCTTATCAAGCATCACCATGGGCGTCCTCGTCGAGTGCAGCCATGGCCGAGGTTGAATGGCTCCACGCTGAGTCTCCCACTACTTGTGATCACATCCCATCATGCCTGCGCAGATAGATGCTATCCTTGGCCTTCCCTTGGTTTCGCCGCTGATGATGCGAATGATGTTGGCGATCTGCAAGCGCTGGTGATAGCGATGCTGGGGGCGGGTGATGGTGATGAGGGTGATGGTGATGACAATGACAGCATCGACGACTGAGATGGTGTTCATCGTCCTCGTCGTCGAATATCAGTGTCAACTTGTTTCTGGTGTCGTCGGTTATCTTGATTGTGATGATTGTATGACTGCCAGGGTCCCCTCCTATTTCAGCTGCTTGTGTTTGTTGTTGTTGCTGCTACTAATGCTGTTGCTTGAACATTGCTGTTGTTTGTCTTGGTGTTGATGGTGGCGGTCTGAGCCCTACAGCCCGCAGCCCATACAGCCCGCAACCCAAAGCCGTGAACAACCCAGAACTCCGAGTTTACATAGCCTGCAGTTACGTTGGTAGTGACCCTTACTATTGCCTTGGCAGGTAGTCCTTAAAGTAAGCCTCATAGCAGCCCCCTTCTGGAAGCCTTTCTTAAAGGAGCCCTAAACCCTACTTAAAGGATCATGGGACTTAGTAAGTAGGGTTATAATAACTAAGGTAACTATACTTATAACCCCAATTAGGGGACTTATAACCTTACTTAGTAAGTCCCCTGATCCTCCAAGTACACGCAGGTGCCCCTCGGGGAAGCCCAGGCACTTGCGACAGTCTCGGCTTTGTCCGGAGGCCGGGATGGGCGGTTTAGGGTTTAGGGTTTAGGGTCTAGGGTTTAGGGTTTAGGGTCTAGGGTTTTGGAGCGAATTCGGGGTGCCTTGAAGCAAGACATGGGGTTCTATCGGATTCTACTCATGAACCCTGAACGGTTCCCATGTTGAGGCCGCAACAACGATCCGACCTAGCTAGCGGTACGTGAGGTCGTATCTACGGCTGCTTGCTGAATCTCCCATTTAGGTCGTTAGCCCTCAGCCTAAACTGTAGGTTCGGGTCTAGGGGAGTTCCGGGTTTAAATGGAGTCTTCAGAATCAGGGCAGTTTAGGAGTCTTCGGGTGAGAGGGTTCTTATGTTTGTACGGTGCCTTGTTTTTCGGTGCGGGCTTCCACCTCCCTCCTGATTTGAAAGCCCTCTGGCCTGATACTTGGAGGATCATGGGACTTAGTAAGTAAGGTTATAGGGTTTAGGGTTTAGGGTTTAGGGTTTAGGGTTTGGAGGATCATGGGACTTAGTAAGTAAGGCTCTAAGTACCCGAATTGGGGTTATAAGTATAGTTCCCTTATTTATGACCCTGGTTACTAAGTCCGATGATCCTCCAAGTAGAGTCATGTGATTGTGAACCCGAAAATCTGGAAGCCCTGGTGCTGGGTAGTTCGAAGAGTTAGGGTTTAGGGTTTAGGGTTAGTACAGGTCGTGTTTGATTCCTAGGCTCATAATTACCTGGTTTGAGTACGAGCCGACCACCCTACGCTGTTTACTGCAGGTTCCTGTATCAAACTCCGACCCCTATGTCTCTGAAGCCCGCTATAGGGCCGTGACACAACCTGTAAACAGAAGCCCCAAAATCATTTCAAACTCTTCGAGGAAAGCAGGGTGAGAAGGGTGGCAAGGGCAGGAAGAGAAAGGAGGAAGCGGTTCATGATTGGCCTTTTGAAATTGGAGACGGTCCGTGGAATGGCAGTTGATTTTTGATACAGCTGCCGTCTCCGCAGCGGTCTGGTCTCGCAGTCAATGGGGCACAAGATGCCTGACACTGGTCGGACCGATCACCGGCATGGCAACTGCCAGACAGCTGGCTGAGCGGCTTATAGCCAAAAGTGCAGGCTTTGGAACCGAAGCAGCAGGCCAGCTGCAGGTGGAAAAGGTGCACCGCCAGCACCGCCGACTGGTGGACTTAAGATGCCTTGTGGATGCTTTAACAAGCCCTTCAACAGCTCTTCAAGGCGTATTTCAGAAATCATAAAACAAGTGCTACTTTTCTAGAATCCGCATAGATCGCTTAACGGTCTCTGAAAGAACTCGTAAAGAGCACTAAGCTCGTCAAGAGGGCCGAGTCTACTTTGGCTCCTTCTTGCTACAACGACCAGGCTCCTGTTACAATACAATATTATATTTCGTTGTGGTTTATTGTATAATATATTTTCATATATTTATATCATGGTTATATATATATATATACTATGTTAATATATAGTTGATTTGTTACATGGTATCATCAGGCTCCATGATCTTCTCGGATGAGCTCTCGCACATTCCTGAGGAGCGCCTGGCCATCTTGACCATTGGCCTCAAAGACTCGAGGGTTGCGGGGTTTGGGCTCTCAGACTTCTGGGGTTGAGTTTAGGGTTCAGGGTTTAGGGTAGGGTTCAGGGATCAGGGTTTAGGGTTCAGGGTTTAGGGTTTCGGGTTTCGGGTTTTGTAGCAGATTTGGGTGTTTAGGGTTGAGCTGGGTGTTTCATCCACCTACAAGCAGCTGCATCTAAATGTCGATAAACTATACGTAAACCTTCTTTAAGAAGGCCTTACAACACCACTTAGACAGCCTTGAACTCGATAAGCTGAATCCGAAACCCCTTTGCGCATGCCTAAACCACCCTAAGCTCCTCAAGCTTCAAGGACCCAAGCCCTCACAAAAGGCCGATATCGCCCAGGAAGGCCTTGCTACCTGCGCTGCCGCATGCTGCGCAGCACGTCGCCTTCTCCTGGGGCGACGTTCCTGACAAGGCTGCGGGATCCACCGGTCTGGACCCTGGGAGCGGACCCAGCCATCCATACAGTAGAAGCCCAAAAGTTGGAAACCCAATAGCCTCAATCCTTAAGAGTAATGTATAGGGCTATCTGTCCTTAGTCCGGTTTCCAACTTTTTGGGATTTGCTATAGATGATAGCCCAGAACCTAGAGAGTTAGACACAGAACGTAATATACCTAGACGATTGCCACTTAAACCCTAGCCAAAATAAATGATAAATATACCTATTTATGTATGTCCTCAGCATCTAGGTCCAGCTCTAAGTTGGTGATCTCGTTAAGATTCTCTGATGCCTCGTGAGACACTCCTGTACCACCAAGAATCCCCTTTCCCATAGCGGTTCAACGCTCGGACTCACTGGCAGCTCTCAAAGCCCCAAAATGCCACCAAGATCAGGCGTTGATCCAAACCCTAAACCCTAAACCTCTAAACCCTAAAGCAACTCCATAGAGCTTTGACAGCACTTTTCGGGCCAAAAGCGGGCTTTGGAGTCTTTGGGATTTAGGCGGCCCTGGATTTTGACGTCGCACGCTTAGGGCCCCCGAGCCCCAAACCCTTAACCTCAGAGGAGCCTTCCGAAGGAGCCCAAAACCTTCATAGGATCTCGAAGGAGGAACCCTAAAGCCTCATAGGATCCTGAAAGGGAGCCTAAACCCGAAAGCCTAAAGCCTCTTCTAAACCCTAACACCCCTAAACCCTGAAGCCTGAAGTCTCATCCAAACCCCTACACCCCGAAGCCTAAAGTTACTTGCAGGCTGGCTTGATCGCACAGAAAAGACCAGTGCACTTAAAAACAAAGGTACTTACGGCCTCATAGGATCCTTCAACCCTAAACCCCGAAACCCCTAAACCCCCACACCCCTAAACCCCGTAAACCCCTAAACCCCAAAAAGCAGAGCCCCCCCCATCAATTTGGGAACCTCTGAGCCTTCTCCGGGAGCTAGGATTAGGGGGACCCTTGGGGATATAGACCCTCTCAATAAGGTCCTTTTTGAGAGAGCCAAAAGTAGGGTTCAGAAGGGCTACCCTAAACCCTAAACCCCAAAGCCTTCAACCCTAAACCCAAAACCCCAAACCTTAAACCCTAAACCTTAAACCCTAAACCCCTAAACCCCTAAACCCCTAAACCCTCAACCCAAAACCCCAAAACCCTCGTACCCCTAATAATGCTACCTAAACTAACTAAGGGGTTTTGGAGTCTCCCTTTGAGGGGTCCTACCTATTCTCGCAGGTCGTGGGGCTTATAAGTATAGTTACCTTAGTTATGACCCTACTTACTAAGTCCCATGATCCTTTAAGTAAACCTAGCTACAAGTAAATTCCACAACACGGAAAAGGGGGTTACCGCCTAGGATTTTAGGGTCTTGTTTCGATTTATTCCTTGGAGCTTTAAGTATCAATTTGGGAACCTCCGAGCCTTCGATCGCAGGTCGTGGCCGAGCTGGAGTCGCAGGTGCCGTGCCTTGGGTCCTGGCAGCTGGCTGGCGCTCCTGGGACCTGGAGCTCTTTAGGGCTTTTGGGAAGTTAGGGTTTAGGATTTTAGGGTTTGGGATTTTTAGGGTTTTGGGATTTTAGGGGATTTTTGGGTTTAGGATTTTAGGGGATTTTAGGGTTTAGGATTTTAGGGGATTTTAGGGTTCAGGATTTTAGGGTTTGGGATTTTAGGGTTTGGGATTTTAGGATTTAGGATTTTAGGGGATTGTAGGGTTTAGGATTTGGGGGGTTTTAGGGTTTAGGATTTTGGGGTTTATGTTTGTAGGGTTCGGGGTTTAGGATTTTAGGGTGTGGGGTTTAGGGTCTATGATTTTAGAATGTTAGGGTCTCTGATTTTAGGGTTTGGGGTCTAGGATTTTAGGTTTAGGGTCTAGGATGTTCGGTTTAGGGTCCAGGATTTTAGGTTTAGGGTCTAGGATTTTACGTTTAGGGTCTAGGATTTTGGGGTGTAGGGTCTAGGATTTTAGGGTTTAGGATTTTCGGGTTTAGGGTCTAGGTTTTTGGGGTCTAGGATTTTAGGGTTAGGGGTAAGGGTCCAGGATTTTAGGGTTTAGGGTTCAGGAGGTTCTAGGCTTTGTTGAGACTGTCAGATTACGGCCCTGCAGCTTCTATGTTTTGTGTTAGGGTTGAGGAGGCTTGTGGTTTAGGGTTTAGGGTTTAGGGTTCAGGGCCTAGACCCAAAACCCTAAACCACAAGCCTCCTCAACCCTAACACAAAGTTTAGGGTTTAGGGTCTTGTTTTGGGGTTTTGAGGTGGCTTCTGGGGTTTGTGGCCGTGGTGCAATCAACGCAGGTGTTCGCCTGGTGCGATGGCAGCTTGGCTTGACAAGACGACGTCCTGCCGGTTTAGGGTTTAGGGTTTAGGGTTTAGCATGCTCCATACCCGGGGCTTTTACACCCTAACCCGTTAACCCCATGCACAGATCCCTTGAAAACAGCAACTCCTTCCCAACAAGCATTAAAGCCTTGAACTATTCATCCGGCTTCGAGCCAAAAGACTTCTCGAGAGCTGAGAGGGGAACTAGCAAGTTTTGCACAACTACGGTGCCGTTATTCGTATCCTTATACTATGCCTTATACTACAATAAGGCTTCTACTATGAAGGGTCTTAAGTAGGGTACCTTGATTTTGTGTAAGTGTGAACGTTCTATGGAGCCAGAAAGGCATGGATCAGTTCACAACGGTAAAAAGAGCATGTGTATACACAGCTGTAAAGCAAAGGATACGCACCACATGGAACAATAGTCCGGTCAGGCCCAAATGTTGAGTAAACCATAGACCAGTGATGCTGGACTCAAACTAGGTAGCCCCTAAAACCGGCTCGACAGTATAGCTGGCAACGCCACCACCCTACCCCCCCCCTTTGAACACTGAAAGTTACGGGTAGCTGCCCTTAGAGCGACTTAAAACAGAAGGCAGATTTAAACAAACAAAAAAAATCTGTATATTATATATATATATATATATCAAAGACTCGGCGCTTGCACAACCTAAACCCTGAACCCTAAACCCTAGACCCTACCCTAAAGCCTAAAGGCCCGTTTATGGTTACTTAAACTCAATACGGAATAGAAAGTTGCACTTTTAACGCTATCCCAACCATGAGCTAGGTTCAGAGTGTGGGGTTTCTGAGTTTGGGCAGTAGGCAACAAAACCCAAGAACCCTAACCCCTGTCTTCCTCAATTGGCTTTAGGGTTTAGGGTTTAGGGTTTAGGGTTTAGGGTTTAGGGTTCTTCCTCAATTGGGGTTTCAGTGGCCCGTAAACCGTGAACCCTGAACCCTGAGGACGGCAAGTGAAGGAACTCTCTCTCGAGTTGCCGGGATCCGAGGCCGGACAAGCGGACATGGGATCCTTCGGGTTGTGGGGTATATAGGGTTCTAGGGTTCTAAGTTTCAAGGCTTTAAGGATTGTCGTGCTATTGGGTTTAGAGGGTTTGGGGTTTCAGGATTTATGTTGGTTTTGGGTCGGGTTTAGGATGTTGGGGCTGTTGTTGGTTGGTTCGAGGCGTTGGGGCTTTAGTTTTGAAGGGTTTTAGCGTTCAGGGTTTATGGCTTTGGCTTCGGGCATGTAAGGGTTCCATGGTCAGAAGGGCTTCTAAAGGAGGCAAGAAGAAGCGGCCACATCTCCAGGTGCATGTGCCGTTTCACAAAAGCTCTGTAAGGGTTCATGAGGTTTCATTGTAAGAGTTTCAACAGGGTTTGATAAGCACTTCATAAGTGTTCTGCAAGGGTTTAGGGGTTCCATGCTTCGGTTATGGATTTAACAGAGGTTTCAAATCGTAAAGCTTGACGTTCGGTTCAAACATGCTTGAACCTTTTGAAACGTTCAGTGGTCGCGAGATTGCTGGCTGCAGCCTTGAAACTTTAGGTCTAAGTTCTGGGGTCGTGTTTGAGGCGAGGAAGCATCCCAGAGACCTTTGAAGCCCTCGACGCTACAGTCTCCAAAATTTGCAAGTGCTAGACCTACATAGCCGCAAGACCCCTAGCTAACAACATCTCATGAAGCAAATTATGTCTTGTGAGTGATCCATAGGATCTTATAAGGTTGCCTGCCATCAATGCACGAAGGAATTCATTCGTTCAGCCTTCTACGCCTTGACAGACACCCGAATATCTTGCACCAGGACCAGAATTGGCACGTCTTTGAGTTTTGGAGTGGCAGCTACTACAGTGCGCGAGCAAGCATCCCGACGGCAGTCCACGATGCCGATGCCTACGAATATCCGGGTTCTTCAGTACACCGCTTCTGCTTGCTTCGGAGGTTCTTTCCCGATTTTTTTTCTGAACAGATTGTTTTGCTGCAGGTCATTGAAATTTTGGAGCTTTGGGGAAGAGTACGTGGTTGCGGCGTATATCAGAAGCCCCAAGGCCCCGCAAGAACAGGCCTGTCATAGTATGGCCCATAATCTGTGGGAGCCCATCCTCCTAAAGCTAGTTTTGTACTTGCCATCCACGCGTTTCGGAGGTTTAGGGTTTAGGTCCAGGTCTTACCAATACCCCCAGACCCCAAAACAAAAAAGCCCTGAACTTATAGGATTTAGGGGGACAGCTCGTGCATGCAGCGCTGCCGCCAGCCACTGAAGGCGCGCCTCCTGCCCTGGCATGCTGTTCGGGGTTTAGGGTTGAGGGTTTAGGGTTTTGAGTCATCGAGGCTGTAGGATTCACCTAGACCCCCCAACTACCCTCTAATATACCCCAAATACCCACTATTAGGGACCATAAGGGCTCTATTAAAGGGCCATTGGGGTCCTGGCAGTGTGTAGGCCTTCACCAGGTCAGGGCTTCCTTGATTCTGGAGTCGTCGCAGTCGACTTTGCACACGGGGCGCGATGTCATGGAGATGAAAAACCTTGCCCCAAGGCTCCAAGTATACAAATAGCACCTACTTTGGGGTCTAAAGTCTATGAATAGTACCTACTTTGGGCTATTTGGAGCCCCAGGGTTGCACTTCTGCAACACCTTTCTTCGAGGGGTGTCCGTTGTATGTCAAGCTCCTCATCTGGAAACCCGAGCCCTAAAGCCTAGCTTACCTATAGTCTCCATTGTAGTTCCTTTTTGGGGATACCTTATAAAATCCCCAATATATAATTGGTTAAACCAAAAAAAGGAACTACAATGGAGACTATAGGTATAGTCCCTGACGTAAAGTCGAGCCATCTGTCTGGTAGATGAAACGTCCGCAAAGCCTTCATGCACTCCTCTAAAGCGCTAGAAAGACCTTCTAAACCCTACATGACCCTGGAATATAGAGCCCTACAGGCATTCTACAGAAGCGTCCTTCGGAACAGACACCTTAGACTTGAGAGAACTCGAGTTCAGGACAGCTCCACATGGTTGCGAGAAGATCGCCGGTACAGGTCAGTAATATAGGGGCCTTAGTTTAATACATAGAATATGGTTCTGGTGTCCCTTACATTTTAAAAATAATAAGCAACCCCCAAAATAGTATGGGTAAATATTTAGGCCCCTACAATAATGCATCATTTCATGTGCTGCCAATTGCATATCTCTTGCCCGAGCCAAACCGAGGATCATAGTAGATTGCTGCCACTTGCAGCATGGCCGATGCGACAGGCTCGGGGAGTAGAGCCCTAGCGCTGGCAGGAATGTTCACCGACACACCTACAAAGGCGCGCTTTTCTGCATACGTGAAATGCCTCGTCCTGACATGTTTGGGCCTCTTAGTGGTCCATAATTCAGCTTTCAAACTTTCTGGTGTTCTTGGAACTTGGTGGTTCTCATAAGCTAGTGTTACTGTGGAATATCAATCGTGTAAGTCTTAAGCTAAAGTAATGTCCGCGGTAAGCTTTAGACCAGTCTGTGAAAGTTCAATCATGTAAGTCTTAAGCTTAGGTAATCTGTGCGGTAAGCTTTAGACCAGACGATCATCTTTACACCACGTGGGTGGTTGTCAACATTAGGGTTGCTTTTTGGGTCCATAATATAATACGGCACCCTATATCTAGGGTACCCAAAAAGGGACCCTAATTTTGACAACCATCCACATAAGACCCTGAAGGAACCCTCATCAGACCCACCAAGGCTTGGTACCCTTCTTGGCTGTGCTCACTCGGGACATGGATGCTTCAGACTTTCACGCTTGCGATGACGGATGTTATTTTGTGCGGTACGCTGGTGTCCCAAGCTTACCGTCTACAGCTGTTCAGAATGTTGAGAGAACAACTGGAAACAAAACAGGCTGGTGGCCATCCTTTCCATTGTTTGTGGGAGTCCAAACCGGTCAAACTCTGAATGCAAGCTATCCGCCAATTCTGTCCGCATTGGAATGGCTGGAAACTCCAGGTGCAGTCTACTTTCTGGGTCCCTACATGTATCTTGATTCTCTAGAGCCGTCGTCGGTTTTCTCTTGACCTACTCTAGAATGTCTACTGTCCTATCAAGACTACATGGCTAAAATCAGAACCCAGGTACACTGCCGCGGTACTTTTTCTGGACAATGCCAGCCACACTGAATATTTCATCAGCAGTGCGAATGCGACGCCTCCGAAATGTGACGAACACGACACTCGAACCCACATAAAGAACCACCTCGTTGAAGGCCGCATTCGGGTGATCTACCTTGTGGCTGTCATTGCATGGGCTGCGTGCATGCTGGTGCATGACTGGTCTTTGCTAGCAGGTGTTCACGAGCGGGTGACATTAAAAATTGCCTTGGTGCTATTCTGGTGCCAGCTATTCTCTTGCGTCGCTGCTTTCGTATGGGGCACTGGTGCTGCAGAGGTGTTTGTTGAACCAGACTCGGGCTGCTATTACAGGTTGAAGACTGTGGTGACATTGCTAGCAGTGTTGCCGCCTTTCCTGCTGTTGGCTGCCACAGAGCAAAAGTACCACAGGCTTGTGCTATCAGTTTGCCATGGAGACTATCTTTATTCAGTGCAGTACAGCGTCCCATTCAGAGCAGCTGAAGCAACAATCCCCTTCGATCCATCAGCATCACTGCTTTCCCCTGCCTTAAGGGGAGACAGTGGGGCTGAAAGGAGGGGAGCAACACCAGCCTGTCCAGCGCCAAGGCTATCCTTTGCGGAAATCTGGCAGATGGAATGGATGCTTAACTGGACTCACATGTTCTGGTGTCTTGCGCAGCATCTGGTCATAGCTCCCTTTGCAGTTGGGCCACTTTGGCGCAGGATCGTGCAAGTGTCAAAAGCCTGGAGGTGGGCCTTTGATGCCTTCGGAATTCTCAAGTTTGGTGTTTTGGCACTGATGATTGGTTCTGTGGTGGCTGGCCTTTATCCGGCCTTCCGCCTCTGCCGGGCTTGGTGGACTGCTACCAGTATCTTAAGCGATCAGGAACGAGAAGACGCTGGCGTGTGTCTGTGCATCAGGAGACTAGCCACTCGGTTGACGAATGTCTTCGCATTGTGCTTCGGCCCCATGTTCAGCATCGGCGCCGTGTGGAACATTTGGAAGTGGTTGCGGGGTGACCTGCTCACAGACAATGTTCTCGATGACAGTTGGCGGTGGTACCTGCATGGGACCTCAGCTTTTATACATGCTTCCATCGCCTGCTCCATGCTGCCAGCATTCAAGGACCCCACGATCATGCTGAGGGCTCGGGCATTCCACCTGGACTTTGAGTTGGAGAAGAGGTCCTTGGCTGAGGTGCATGAGAACCACCCCGACTGGCTCATGGCTGAATATTTGGAGAAGGAGCTTCGACAAAGTCAAAGTCTCCTCAAGAGGAGGAACAGCCAGCTACTCGACACGGAGGGTGACGAATCTAGACTGCTCCTCAAGACGTCTCTTCATTTTCTGGTGTATGTGTATACATACATGCATAGGTGTGCACTTGTTTCTTTATTTGTTGATAGAGTTCGTGGGCCCAATCCTCCTGAATCTTCCGAAACCAGGAGCAAACTGTGTCTCGTAAGCACCTCCGGAATTTAGCCGAGGACTCAGAGTGCGGCCTACTGTACCCCGATGCCGGACGAAATCGAGTTTCTGCTGCAAGATCGTCTGCATTCCATCCAAATGCCAAGCGGTCCTTCCAGACCATCCTTGATTCTTGGAATTAAAAAGGTATTGTAGGGTTATAGGTTTTAAAACCCTAGGGTTTGAAGCCCAATAACCCTAAACCATTAAACCCTTGGATTTAAAGGTATTGTAGGGTTATAGGAACTAAAAATCGAAGATGCGCTCGATCCCTGGGCTGGGGGGCTCGCATGTGTACTTAGTCTATGCTGGTCAAGAGTCCCTAAACATGAAACAGCCAATGCCCAACCGACTCAGTCGGAGCGGCTCTGAATAGATCCTCTTCCACAAGATGAGGATCTTAAGGCTTGAAGGTTCGGGAAGATACGGGAGTTTCCAACAATAAGGGGTACCTTATTTTGGGGGTCCTTATAATAGGGATCCTACTATGTAGGGTACTATACTAGGGTCCCCTTATTTTCGGAAACCCCCATAAACCCTAAACCCTAAACCCTAAACCTTCGAGCATCTGCTAATCTCTTCGTGACAGCAATTCCGGCTTCTGAAGGATCAGCCGAGAGTCAGAGATGCACTCTACTTGCTTAAAGGATCATGGGGCTTAGTAAGTAGGGTTTAGGGTTTAGGGTTTAGGGTTTAGGGTTTAGGGTTTAGGGTTTAGGGTTTAGTACTTAAAGGATCATGGGACTTAGTAATCCTGGGGCTCCAAATAGCCCAAAGTAGGTACTATTCATAGACTTTAGACCCCAAAGTAGGTGCTATTTGTATACTTGGAGCCTTGGGGTAAGTAGGGTTTAGGGTTTAGGGTTTAGTACTTAAAGGATCATGGGACTTAGTAAGTAGGGTTATAGCTAAGGTAACTATACTTATAACCCCAATTAGGGGACTTATAACCTTACTTGCTAAGTCCCATGATCCTCCAAGTAGAGGCCGACACCC